TCACCTTTTGTTCTCATTGATTTTTGTTTGCATATGCTCTGGTTTAGGAATTGGCGAACATTTTCTGTAAAGGGCCAGATAGTGGATATTTTAGGTTTTGTGGTCCGCCTATGATTTCTGTTGTATAGTCTCTGTTTTATTCTTTTTTCTTTTCTTTTTGTTTGGTTTGTGTGTTTTATAACTCGTTAAAAATGTAAAAATGAATCTTAGTTTAAGGCCTGTATGGGAACAGGCCACTAGCCAGGTTTGGCCTGTAGTCCAATCCCTGTTCTAGTTCATTGATTTGTGCTCTTCCATTTATTACTTATATCTTCCTACTTATTTTGGGGTATAATTTGCTCATATCTTTCTACCTTCATAAGATGGAAGCTTAAATAATTGATTTTACACATTTCTTTTCTAATAAATCATTTAAAATTATAAATTTTATTCTAAGCTCTGGTCTAGAGACATCCCCAATACCCACACACAAAATGAGTCCTGACTTCCACTGAAGGCTCTCCCACACTGAATATATATGATTTCTCACTGGTTAGAATTTCGGTTGTACAAAGAGGTGTGACTTCTGCATGAAGACTCTGATGTGTTCATTAGATGTTCTGTTCAGATGAATTCCTTTTCCCAGCACATTGTTCCATTCATAATCTATCTCCTCAATTCTGACATATTGTATTTTCATTCAATATTATCTAAACATTTTCTAATTTCTCTTGTGACTCATCTCTACCTAGGCTAACAAATGGAAATTCAGTTTTCTCCACCTTTTCAGAAAAAATTCCATGGTGTGCCTCTTTCCCATCTACCCACTCATATTTACATAATGCCATTTTGTTCTGTTATACTCTAAGAATGTCCAAAATAGGGTAGATTAAACTGTGAAGTGTTTAAGTGTAACTGTGATAACTTGAAGTTGAAATAAACATAATACCTAAGCATTTGTGTGACCATCAGCATATAAAACTTTAAGTAAACATTAACATCTCAATAGCAAGCATGTTGGGGCGCCTGGGTGGCTCAGTTGGTTAAGCGACTGCCTTCGGCTCAGGTCATGATCCTGGAGTCCCGGGATCGAGTCCCACATCGGGCTCCCTGCTCAGCAGGGAGTCTGCTTCTCCCTCTGACCCTCTTCCCTCTCATGCTCTCTGTCTCTCATTCTCTCTCTCTCAAATAAATAAATAAAATCTTAAAAAAAAATAGCAAGCATGTTAACATTTTAATTATTTAATTTCCAAACTATTTAAAACCATATTTTCAGAATTACTAGGGTAGTTGCACTTATTTCAACTTTTAACTCTGCCTGAAAACTCCAAAATATCTGTTTACATATAGCATAATGTTTCAGAGTCCTTAGATATGAGTCATGGTATCTTGTGTAATCTCTTAAATTCCAGTTGTTTAAGGAGACTAGTACCTAATTAATTCATAGTACCCAAGAAATATCTATTAGTAATACTACTTAAGTAGAAAGGCGGTAATATGAAGTATCCTTTTAAAGAGAATACAAGTAAATAGGCTCAGATGACAACATATTAGGAGGCAATTAAAAAAAAAAAAAACCTGGGGGGCACCTGGTGGCTCAGTCAGTTGAACATCCGACTCTTGATTTCAGCTCAGGTCATGATCTCAGGGTCGTGGGATCAAGCCCCGCGTCGGGCTCCACACTCAGCGCAGAGTCTGCTTGTCCCTCTCCTTCTGCTCCACCTCCCACTCCTCCCCCTACTCATGCTCTCTCTCAAAATAAATAACATCTTTAAAAAAAAAAAAACACTAAGAATTTCCTACCTATCTTATGTTAATGGCAATACTAGCTATGCATAAGAAACCATTAAATAGAAGGCAAAACATTGAAAATAGAGATATTGAATCTCCTAAGCACCTGAGACTTGAAATGACTATAGAAGGGGCACAAGCTTTCTTCTTCCTGAAGTCATGCACAGAATTAATGGGATGATAGGAAGGATAAGGGCGAGAAAAACAATGAATTCTAATTATGGAAGGCTTTCTGAAAATATTACACAGTTTCATATGGGGCCTGACAAGCAAACTGGATCTGAAAGAAGTTCTAATAGACAGGAATTCCACAAATTATTGGCTGAACAAGTGGTATTATCACATAGTTTCCAAGATGACAACATTGAAGGCAAGATACACATTAATAGTTTAGTTTCTGATATGTTTAGAAAATGAAATGTCCTACATTTACATAACAGCTCAATATTTATCTTCAAAAGTGACTTTAAAAATGACTAATAAAAGAATTACATGACTGCAATTCACTATTTAGTTTAAAATTATTATTTGTGGGGTGCCTGGGTAGCTAAGTTGGTTAAGTGTCCCTTTTTTTATTTTGGCTTGGGTCTCAGGGTCATGAGATCAAGCCCCACATTGGGCTCCACACTCAGCACAGAGTCTGCTCAAGATTCTCTTTCCCTCGCCCTCTGCCCCTACCCCAGCTCACATTCACTCTCTAAATAAAATCTTAAAAAAATAAAATAAATTACTTGAAAGTTAAGATTTACAGTGAAAATCATGGCTGCTGTTCACTGTTTTCAATTTTAAAACATTTTTAATTGAAAATCTAAGAAAAAATGTTTGATTAAATATTTAGGATCAAGGGGCGCCTGGGTGGCTCAGTCATTAAGCGTCTGCCTTCGGCTCAGGTCATGATCCCAGGGTCCTGGGATTGAGCCCCACATCGGGCTCCCTGCTCCACAGGAAGCCTGCTCCCTCTCCCACTCCCGCTGCTTGTGTTCCCTCTCTCTCTAATAAATAAAATCTTAAAAAAAAAATTTAGGATCAAGCTCAATATGGTGTATCAGCTTTACCTTCATTTCAAGGAAAGACTGAAAAGATTTTTTGCTATCAATCCCTCTTTTCCTAATATTGCTTCACAATGAATATTTACAACTTACATAAGGTTAAGTTATTGTGCTTGAAAAGGAAAGGATGCCCTGGATAATAGAATTTGTAAGAAAAGTTATTTGTGATGATAAAATGACAACTCAACAAAACACTTAATTTTTTCAAACAAATTATAAAATAATAGTATAATTTCTATGTTCCGACTGATCACAAAAAAAATGTATAGGGCAGCAAAACAGGTATCCCTGAACCAATATCTCAAAATATACCTCCAAGAGCTTCTACATGTAAGAAACTAAAACTTAATACCTCCTTTGAAATGCATGTTTCTTGTTAATTTATTTAATATAATGTAGGGACAGGATACAGAATACCATATGATGTCCAGTCAAATTCAATTCAATTCTGTCTGGAGCTGAAGTGACATTACATTCAGTCCTGCTTGTCTCGAGTGGGACAGAATCCTGTGGAGGCTAAGAGGCTGATCTGAATCTCAGCCCTCCACTTACCAGGCACATGAGTTTAGCTGAATCAGGGAACCTCTCTGGGCTCCACTTGCCTCATCTATAAAATAGTAATAATCTCAGTTTCATATATTTGCTCTAAGGATTAAATAAGAAAGTACATGTCAAAGTGCTTAGCAGACTGTGTGTGTGGCAGAAATATCCAATAAAGGAAGCTTTAAAAAACTCAATTCTGATAATCACAAGGATATAAAGATCCCAAGCTATGCATAGCAGTACTCATGTAAGTACTATGAGTTGAAACAGGACTAGGAACAGGAATTTCTTTGTGTAGAACTATTTTTATCATGTGTTGAATATGCCAACATTGCTTACAGCCACATCACTGCCTGCTTTGCTTGTTGCCTCTTAACTGTATGCTTTACACCAAATGATATTTTTTAAAAGTCTACTTTTTTTTTGTACAATTTATTTGAGAGAGAGGGAGAGAGAGAGTGTACAGGGGGGAGGGGCAGAGGGAGATGGAGAGACTTTTAAGCAGACTCTCTGCTGAGCATGGAGCCCAATGTGAGGCTTGATCCCATGACTCAGATTATGACCTGTTTTGAAATCAAGAGTCAGACACTTAACCGACTGAGCCACCCAGGCACCCCTCTACCACTAACTTTTGATGTCTCTATAAATGCATTGGCTTCATCTTCTCTTAATTCTATATACCTTAAGAAAGAGTGGGGGAAGATCTATTTGTTATTTAGTTACAATTTATCCTTTTGTGTTTTTTAAGATGTGGGGAAAATGGTGTCATTTAGTGCAGAAAGGCAGGTGCAAATATCAATATTCACTTCCAAATGACAGATAATTTAGGTTATGAATGCCATTTCTACATCACTTGTAGAATGATCACATATAGTAGTCACTTTGTTGTCCTGATTAATCAATTTGCAGTTGACCCTTGAACAACACAGGTTTTAACTGTGCAGGTCCATGATTTTTTTTATTAATATAGTACAGTACTATAAATGTATTTTTTCTTCCTTATGACTTTCTTAATAACATCTTTTCTCTAGCTCATTTAATTGTAAGAATACAATATGCAATACATATTACATAAAAATATGTGTTGACTGTTCATGTTACCAGTAAGGCTTCCAGTCAATAATAGACTATTAGTAGTTAAATTTTTGGAGAGTTAAAAGTTATACATGAATTTTCAACTGCACAGGGGGACCCTAATCCACGTTGTTCAATGATCAACTGTACTCACTCATTTAAAAAATTTGTACCTTGGAATGCCTAGGTAGCTCAGTCATTTAAAAAATTTGTACCACAAGTGATCAAGCTAATCACATATGGTTGAGATTTTTCTACATCCTTAAAAAACTTTTACTATTAGGCCTGAACCAAGATGTCCAATATAATTTTTTGGATACATGATTTTTCAAACTTGCTTCTCAGTACAAATTTTCTGGTGCTTAATAGTTTGGGAGCTACTATTGAAGGCTTCCCATGTTTAGTACATTCATAGAGTTTTTAGACTTTATGAATTCTATGATGTGTGATGAAATTTTAATCATTTAATTAAAGTTTTCTCATTCCATTAAAAGGGTTTCTGTTCCATATGAATTCTCTGATGAACAATGAGAGTAGATTTCTTGCTGAAAGCTTTTCTACAATTACTACAGTCATAGGGTTTTTCTCCAGTGTGTATTCTATGATGTACAGTGAGGTGTGACTTCTTACTAAAGGCTTTTCCACACTCAGTGCATTCATACGGCTTCATCCCAGTATGGATTCTTTGATGAACAGTGAGTTGTGATTTCTGGATAAAAGCTTTTCTGCATTCACTGCATTCATAGGGTTTCTCCCCAGTATGAATTCTCTGATGTTCAATGAACTGTGAGCTCCGGATAAAGGCTTTCCCACAATCACAGCATTGATACCTTTTGTCCCCAGTGTGAGTTCTCTGATGTACAATGAGATCTGACTTTTGAATGAAGGCTTTTTTACATTCATTACACTCAAAGGGTTTCTCTCCAGTGTGAATTCTGTGATGTACACTTAGTTCTGACTTCCTGTTGAAGGCTTTTCCACACTCTTTACATCCATGGGGTTTCTCCCCAGTATGAATTCTCTTATGTACAACGAGCTGTGACCGCCAGATGAAGGCTTTTCCACAGTCACTGCATTCATATGGTTTCTCCCCAGTATGAGCTCTTTGATGAACACTAAGCGTTGACTTCTTGATGAAAGCTTTCCCACATTCATTGCATTCATAGGGTTTTTCCCCTGTGTGAATCCTCTGATGAATAATGAGGTTTGACTTCTGGATGAATGCTTTCCCACATTCACTACATTTATAGGGTTTCTCTCCTGTATGAGTTCTCTGATGTACAGTGAGTTGTGACTTCTGAATAAAGGTTTTTCCACATTCGTTACATTTGTATGGTTTCTCCCCAGTATGAATTCTCTGATGTACAATGAGTCCTGACTTTCCACTGAAAGCTTTCCCACACTGAATACATTTATATGATTTCTCACTGGTTAGAATTTTTGGTTGTACAAAGAGGTGTGATTTCTGCATGAAGGCTCCGATGTGTTCATTAGATGTTCTGTTCAGATGAATTCCTTTCCCCAGTACATTGTTACATTCATGATCTATCTCCTCAGTTAGTGGCTTATTGTTAATGAATGCAACTTGATTCAAAAGCTTGTCTTGGTTTTCCTGGTGATTTATCTCATCCTCAAGTCTCCAGTCTTCAAAAGTTGAGTATACAATCATGTTATGGAGTATCACTTGTTCAGAAATGCTCTTCCATGGTGTTAATTCTTTCATCTTGGGTCTAATATCAAAGTCTGAAAAAAGCCCAAGTGTATATGATGTTACTTCACTCTTGAGCTCTGAAGAATACAAAACAAAACACAAAAATAAAAAACAAAGCTCTTCATTTTAATAGAAATAGATAGAAATCTGATAAGTGCAATTAGCTTTGAAATGTAGAATATGACCTTAAAACTCAAAGACAGAAGAAGAAATAGACCTAAAAGAAGTGAGCAAGGGAGCAATGGAAAAAGAAGAGTTGATGAACTCAGTGTCAAAGTTCCACATGGCACCAGCGCCAATCCACCACAAGGCTCTGTGAAGAGCAGAAGCAGATCAAAAAATCATTTCAGGAAAGACAGAGGAAGGATGCTAGCAAAGGAGACTGAAGGAGAGTTGAAGTGACCAGCAGAAAGATTAAATCCACACTAAATATAAAAATATTCATAAATATTTTATAAGTAACCAGGTAGAAGCACAACTACAGGGTAGGGCTTTCCAAGTACATTCATCTTAAAGAGTCAGAAGACACAAAAAGCATGGGATGGGACAGGCTCTATTAAAAGGGGGAAATTCTGAGTTTGAAGACTAGGCAGTTTCAGAGGGAGAAAAAAGGCAAAAAAAAGAAGGAAGAAATACCCGCTCATAATTGGGTGGTGGTAATGGGGAAAGAAAACAAGGGAAATTCAGGGTCCTGGAAGACAAAGAGAACCAGAAAACCAGAAAAGCCGAAACTCCTCTTCAATCCAAAAGAAAGGAAGGAGGGAAAGGCCCTGCTATATTAACAGAGAAGGACTCCATAATATTTAAAAGTCTTATGAAAATACTGTAATGTAATAAAAATGAACAAAAGAAAAATATAGTCCATAGAGAACTACTACAGAAAATCAGGAAATGAATTTGTGCAGATATCAACAGAGGAAATTGTCCCTTGTCAAACCAAAACCAAAAAGAAAACTAGCCATAAAGCAAAATAAAATTTTGTCTGAACTCTAAACAGAATTAAATATACTCAAACAAGCATTTCAGGTCATGGAAAACCACCATGAATCAGAACTTATTTAAAAAAGAAAAAAACAAATAAACAAAAAATAGAGTGATGAAAAAGAATTGGTTAAATTTGGAGAGGGGAATGAAAGATTAAATTATAAGGTGTGGGCAGGGGGTAAGGAGAATTTCTTTTTTTTTTTAATTAATTTTTTTATTGTTATATTCATCACCATACATTACATCATTAGTTTTTGATGTAGTGTTCCATGATTCATTGTTTGTGCATAACACCCAGTGCTCCACGCAGAGTGTG